TACCCTCCGCTTACAATTGATGTTGATTAAGTTCTTAGAAATAGGTGTAAGCTTATTATTCACTATTATTATAGATTTGAATCTTCCATCACACAATATTTTCAATTAAAATTAAACGCAATAGAGTTAAGGCTTAGTCAATCCTTCTTAGTCTTATTGATAGAAAGACTGAAAAATATTATAATAATACGCTGTGCCTTACCATTAGAATCGTGCCCTTGAATTCTATCGTGCAGAATTTGTGGATATATTGAAAGCCCATAACTAATTTTATCCATTTATTAGCTTACGTGAATGTATATGTAACGAAAGACAATTTATTGCTTGCAAGACTATACAATGTCTGAATCGTACAAATACCTATAGTAGGAGCTATTACTACAGCATTTGCTTACAAATATCTGCACACACGTTTTGGGTAAACTTCTCTTACCTTCATTTACACCTTAAGGTAGCTTAACTGGCATGTTGCAATCGCTGCAAAATTATGTTAGATGGTTGTGAAGAGGGTGGGGGAATCTTTGCTTGGCCAAGCACGCGGCCTCTGCACACATATTTTATTGAATTTTGATAGGCTGGTCTACAACTGCACCCAAAGCCAATAAATTGTTCGAACAGTAGCTTTAGCAGCCACAAATCTTGGCCACAGGAATCTCATTGCAGCGCGCATGTAATGGCAGTTATGGCCACGAGCGGCAATGTCTGCTTGCTTGCGGTTGAGTTCAACTTCGATTTAACACACATGCCAATATACACACACTAACACACACTCATACACACTCACACATACCACATAATCAATGGCCTCTTGCATACATGCAAACATGGCCGTTCTGAAGACAAACAACCGAACAGCAAGCTATATTCGATATATGCATGTAAGTGTTTGCTTAAGTCCATTTCTGTGAGTGTGAGTGTGTATGTATATATATGTGTATGTGTTGGTTTGGCATTGCAGCAAATGCAAAATTTATGAGCAGACATCGAGTAACTTTGACTGCAATCGATAAAAATGCACATTTTGAACAAAATTGGGGCAAAAAAATGTTCGTCGTCTGCGATACCTCTTTTCGACCTATTATTATTATACGCAACTAATGGCAACTTAATTTATTTATTTTCTAATTAAGTCGCATGTTGAAACAAAAACTTTTGGGGGACAAAAACTGCAATCGGCAAGCGGAAGCCAACAGCAATTGCAAGCCATGTAGCGGCATTTGCAACACGCCAAGAGCGAACACAGTGGCAAATGTTGCAAAAGTAACTTAAAATGTTCCATGTCACGTTTCGAGCAACTAATTTGTAAATTTTCGTCTAAAGGCAAAAAGTTTGCGGTAAATTTCGTTGTCGTGTTGCCGTGTCGTTGCGTTTTGTGTGAATGGGGCGAGACAGGTGGCCTGGCAATATGTCAAAGGCGCGAAGCACCCAACCCAACCCAGCCCAACCCGACCCGACCCCACACAAACTTAACCAGCTACCAGCTAGCTACCAGTCGGCAGCTGCATGCCATGTGGGACGTGTGCGGTTTGAATGCGGTTTTGGCTTAACAGCTCTATGTAAGCTACGCAGATGGTGGTGTCCTGACTGCCTGCCTGGCTGCTGCCTGGCTGGCTGACTGTCTAGCTTCTGGTTACCTGGGCTGATAGCTGCTGCTGTGCTCCACCTGCTGTTGCTGTTGCTGTTGCTCTTCCTGGGCTGGGCTGGGCTGTGCTGGGCTGGGCTATAAAACTCAATGACGTTAAAGTTGCTCATAATGAAGTTGACTGCTGGTTGTGACGATGACGATAATAGCAACGATGGAGACGATATAGACGATGACGATGGCGGCACGTACTGTCACCATTTGAATGTTGATTGAAATGTAGTAGTTAAACTTTGTGGCTGCTTAAAGATGGCATAGAACAACAACAACAACGCATGAGTGACACCTTTGTTCGCGCTATATCCATAAAAGGTCGCATCTTCGACTTATTTTCACTTGTACGAGTATACTTGTATAGTATTACAATCTAATGGTGAACAAATTACATCGTTGCGTTTAAATAAAAGGGCGCAAAACAGCTTACCTTACAAAAAATGACTAATGGTTAAAATGGTAGTAAAAATATTCATTTTTATTATTAACAAAAAAAAGCCACAAACGAATTTAACGGGCAAAATCAAACTAGATGGAATGTCAGAAACAAAAACCAAAACACCTAGTATTTTTAAAATCATTGGAGTTAAAAATTAATTGAACTAATAGAGTATTATATACGTGTATATCCTATCCTTGTGAACACTTTTTACTCAAGGATATCATTTGGTTGTTGTAGCCTTTATATTATTTTAGCTTAAATCTTTCAAAAAAGCATCCCATTTTTCTTGACAAATGTGCAACTGACAATGCGAGTTTTATGCGTAATTTATAATGAGCATTTTCACCTGCTCTCAACCAAACTGCCTTTTCCCTTTAAATCTGAATCTTTGGAAATATAACAAATAAATAAAAACTATGAGTTCCTCAAATAAATAATAAATATTATGAAAAATTGCATTACAGCAAATTTGTTAAATGCTCTATGTAACGGTTACAGAGTGATATGGGACTTGGTAGTCGACATGCGTAGGAGCGGCACGCTTAGGGTTTCCGCTCTGGCTCGTTGGCAATGGACAACTGCAAACGGCAAACTGACTTTGGACGGACTTGCAGCTACACTAAACTGCACACACGTGATCAGAACTCAGATGTTGGCGAGTCTGATTACACCCTCCCTACCTTGGTCATTTCTAAAAGCCACAACAACAAAAAAAGAATATTAACAATGATCCCTTACGCTGCAAACTAAAACTTACGAAGGCATTGGGTTCGGAGTGAAATCAAAAAAATTGGTTAATTAGCAATACATTATAATTTATTTAAACGAAAATGAAAAAGAGAGTAATAAAAGAAAATGGAGCATTAACAAAATCAAGAAGACGACAAAATAATATATGAAAAATTACAAAATCTAAAAACTATAACTTGTAAAATATAAATAAATACTGCTTGACAGAAAAATATATTAAATAACCGCTCAGTGGCGTAGAAAAAAAAAGTTTCTTCAGTGGGTATGTAATTGAGTTTCCAATGCCCTATTTCTCGAAAAATGCATAAATACAAGGAATAAATAATCAGCTGTCTACTTACGGCTGTGCTGCTGATCCCACGCAGAAAGCGCTTTCTGTCTGGAACACATCTGTAATAAGAAGACACCGCGCTGGAAAAAGAGCGCGAAAACAAAAAAAAAACCTACAAGCGCGAGAGAGAGCACCAATGATCGCTCTCTCGTTCTCACTAAAAAAAATTGTGCCTTCCGAATTACGGAATAAGGCAAGGGGAAAAAATGCATGAAGTAAAGGCGGCTTAACAATTAGAACAAATGAAAATTATACATAAAATACAATTTTGCCACCAATTTGGTTAAAATAACATATAAAAAAACTTAGGCTAGTTTTAGAAAACTATTTTTCCGCCGGCATACTTCTTCGCTCCACTGCCCTATGACCTGAATTTTTTCGTTTTTCTTTTTTCCTTTGCTTATTTGCTTATTTTAGAATTTTTCTGTACCGAATTTAAGCGCCTCTGCGGATTAAAGTAAAGCAGCGACCCCCGTCGACGTTAGATCGCTACAGCCCGCGTTTTAGCACTCCCAGCTAAAACGGGAGCTTGCTGGTGTAGAGTGGACGGGAAAGCTAGCCTGGAAGTAGGTCGTTCTCTTCTTTTGTTTGCCTATTCCTCCTTCTGGGAACTGCGGCCGATCGAATGGATGTTCAAGGAAAAGTTTGTTGCGTTAAACAGCTGATACAGGTACCTGGCCTAATTTCAATTTTTGCTTGCTTAATGCTTGCCACTTCTGGTTTGAATAACGTTCAAACTAAGAAGACCTAGTCTATTGTCGTTGGCACTAAAGAAAACTTTTAACAGAGCGTCAGTGAAAGGCGCCATTTGGTGATAATTTACTTTTCATGTTGGCCCTTGAAAGGCTATCGTTTTCCAAATGACCAATAGGTGGCGAAGAGAAAACTATGTAACCTATAGGCTACAAGCGACGCTACACCTATCAGTTATCTGATGAGCGCAACATTAGCAGTGGTCGGTTCCTTTTTTTAGCTTATTTTATCAAATTCAATTGTTATTTTATTTGAATTGAACCTCCAATTTTCGAAGCATGTCAGGCTAATGGCTGTCATTTTATTAAAGCGAGATACTTTCGTGCCCCAGAGGAAGTCTTCGTATAAATTTAGAAAATATAAAGCACACATTTTTATCATAAAATCGACCGAAGAAATTTAAAGAGGATGATGAGAATTGGTTCGGCTGCTCTGTCGATTGCTAACTCGTGGAGCTTTTGGCCTGCCAAAGATAGCGTTTTTTATTATCCTTTCTATGTATGTGAATTTTAAACAGCACATCCACTCACGAACGCACATACATAATAGCTACACGCATTGCCAACAAATGGTAGCAATTTTTTGGCCCTTGGTCTTTGCCACGCTTAGCTTTTCATCAAAATTCAATTGTTTCAATTTACGCTGTTGGGAGCTCGACGGCCGACGCTCGCCACTTGCCACTCGACGCCATTGTTGTCTCTTGCAGCAGCGGCGCAGCGTCGTTGACCCTTTTGTTTGGGCGCAGGACAACGCGAAGCGTTGCACGTCGCTGCGTTGCAGAAGCAGTGGACCAAGTGGACGTTTATCTTTTGCAGTCACTGTAGTGCGCACTTCGGCAATAGTTGCGGCTTACTCGTATATGCTGCGCATATATTTGTCCTCTAGTACCGGGCATATGTTTGCATAAAATTTCATGCGCCCAAAAATTTAAAAGGACGCAGTCTTTAGTTTAGTATGTTCAAAAGTCCAGCGCAGCGTTTCAAGCTTGGCCAATTAGTCGTCGAGCCCTAATGCGTAATGCCCTAAATGAAGCTGCTAAATATTTAAAATGGCACTTTGTCAATACCCAAAACATAGCTGCTGTGATGCTGCTTTTCAAATGCGGCACTTTATTGCGCCTTGCTACAAAATTGTAACATGCCAGGAATCGCAAACCCATTTTCGTTTCAATTTTTTTTTTTACATTTTTGGAATAAACGCGCTCATGGCAACAACTGCGCGGCCACGAGAGTAATAGATTTATATATAGATGGGTTGAGGGTGGTAAATGGTGGGTAACCGTTGGGCAGATGTTGCCATGGCAAAACAAACGGCCACCAAACGGGGGCTTACACGCTGTAAACCGCTTTGATGAGCGAACCCTGCTTGCTCATCGAATCCTTGTGCAGCTGGTAGTGGAGATTGTGCGGCGGTAGAGTCAGCAAGTCGCGCAGCTTGTGTCCAATCTTCATGACGGCCAGCTCGTTGTGCCCATTGGTAGTCCAAATAGCTAAACACAGGCCACAAAATACCAAGCATGATTGACAGGCAATAGAGGTGGGGATAGAGAGCTGGGACAGCGTACTTACAAATTTTGTTGCTCTTGCCGCGTATGTTGATAACAGCACCGCAGACTTCATCGGTGTGCTCAAAGGCCTCACCAATCAGAATCAGAATCTGTCAGCGGACATTTGCAATCAATTGACATGCCATAGATAACAGAAAGTAAGCCCCATGCCATTGACTTACCACATCTAGCCAGAGCTTGTCCAGTTCCTGCTTACAGTTGCGACTAAGCGTAATGACCCAGCGGCCACCAAACTTGTTCGCATCGTCTTCCCACATGGGCCTATGAGAAAGAAAAAGCTACCAATAACAGCTAAGCAAAATTTGTGAACCCTTCACTCACAGTATTCCCTTTTTAAAAAGCGAGTAATCGCTACCAATTTTAATCTCGGATGGCGGCTTGATGTGATTGTATAGACTCCAAAAATCCTCGACCATGTCAAAGCTGGTTATTTCATTTTGCATCTCCTCCCAAGCCTTGGTGCGATCATTCTCCAGATACCACAATGTCCATGTATGCTCGAGGGGATGCTTCAAACGCAAATCGATCTCTTTAATTAATTGCTGGTGCACATCACTATCCGAGCTATCCTTTAGGCTACCACTTGAGTTAGAGCGCGTTGTGAGCATCTCCGGTTCGCTGTCAACATTCTTGAGGTGCTTGGTCAAAAGCATGTTTGTGTGTGCGGCAGAGGTACAAAAATGTTCAACGAGTCCTTCAATATGAGTTGACGTGGAAGCAATAAATTTCCAACAGGATGTTAAGAAAATTTTTGTCGCACTTCGTAAACTTTACTTCAAGTGTGTGTAGATGTCTGGCATTAAAACCAAACTAAAAGGCCTATTATATGTAGAAGGAGAGACACTAAAATCGTAGGCACTTAGATATGTGACCCCAGCCTCAGTCACTCTTCGAAAAATAGCTTTCAGTAGGTCACAATATCGTTACATAATGTAATGCCTATTAGCTTTTCATATAGCCTCACATGTACCGAAGTTCCATTGAAACAATGCCTTACATATTTTTTAATTCCATAGAATTCCATTCAAAAATCGAAAACTCTGTTTTGATAAAAAATGTTTGGGGTTTTTATACAATACCCCAACAATATTCTTACCTCTTGCGCTTTGATAGTAATAATTAATATCTTCATAGAAATAGATTTGTGTACAAATTGTATTATTTGATTTTATTGTTAGAATTATTAGTCAAAGGCTATAAACATGTTTATTCAATTTTTCGCAAAGTATAAACAGTATAAACAATAATGAACCATTATTTAATATTATTTTCCTCAACTGCAAAGCTATTCAATTTGCACAACTTGCATAGCTGCATTACTGTGCAGATTAAGTTAATGTGTAATTCTCCATCTCTGCTTTAAATTTCATCAACATCGGTCAACTCTAAGAAAAGTTATTAATTATTATTTGTTACTAATCTCGTCTTCTATTTTGATTCTGCTAAGCGGAGGTAACCCGAGGAGTATATCACTGTCTGGCTTGCTCGACTGTAATAATCTTTCTGGTTTCAATAGCGATTTAGGTAAAGTCCTGTCATAACTCAAACATTTCATTTCATAAATTAGTGACTCATTCAGTAACTTTAAGCACTCATCCATCAATGGGACGGCTTGCTCATTCGACCGTTCGCTCACTTGCTCACTCTTTTTTCTCACCGTCTAGCCATCATTCATGCTTCACGTAAATAATTAGACACTCATTCAACATCTTTAGACACCCATTCTCATGGCAGCGTCTCAGCTCAACTCAAAACTTTTTATGCGCTTATGAGTCGCCTGCGTCGCCATCTTCTTCATCGTCCGTGTCGTTGGCCTACGATAAAATCGAGCGCCTTATGCTTTCATTCATATAAAGCGTTAATTTTATGACACAAAATGGCTGGACACTTGAGTTAGCGAGCCGGCCAGAGAGTGGAACGGGCAACAAATTTACGCACTGACACTTAGCTTCTTTTTTTCCATGCGTCGCTGTCGCTTTTACGACCATCGAGCAGCTACGGGGAAGGTCTAGGGGTGGTCCAAGTGTTTGTGTGGGGTGCGTTTCTGGCGTTGATAATGATGTTCCTGTTGCTGTCGTACTCGCATTCGCTATTGCCATAGCTGTCGTCTCTTTATGTTGCTGCCATAAAAGTAAAAATATTATGAAGCTTGTTTCAGGAGCACGGGGCGCATTGCTGTTGTTCTTCTTGTTGTAGTTGTTGTAGCACAATGAAAAAGAAGAGTAATTGCTGCCAAAGTATCTTTCATCTCACACACTTACAAGTCAGCTTCGACTTCTGCGAAATTGGAATAGACATAAAACATGACAGCCGAAATAATGACAAAAATATCAATAGATTCATTGGAAAAACTTGACTTTAATTTGATATCTGAAGAGGCAGTCGCTCTTGGTTGGCCTTGATGTCCACAAATATGCACAGTATGTATATTGATACGATCTTGAAGAGAAATTTCATATCCAATCTTATACCATAGACTGAAATTTTAATGTCCTCGACAAACTCCAAATGTAGCAACTCGTCGATCTGTACCGGAAAAATAAAAAAGACACTCATTTATTTTCAAGCAAATTTGTAAATTATTGTTAGCCGAAACCAAATAGTTTAATAAGATCTTTTTGTTAGTCTCTGGATTATTACATACTTCTGAGAATGACTTTGTTTTTTATTTCTAGAGAAAACCCTATAAAACCAGTACTTTTTACTAAAATAAGAATCTTCTGTTGCCCATCCAAAATTGTATGTAATATAACCAGCAAAAAACAACAAACTTGTTGAAATAAGAAAAGATGGAACTATATTTTTGTAGCCCTAGCATTCCATTTCCAATATATTTTCATTAATGCCTACAAACTGATGAACAGAGGAACAAATGGCCAAAAACATTTCTAGAAATTTTACAGAGATAATACAAAGCTAATAAAAAGACATAATTTTGTTTTTTGGGAAAATGCGTACACAAATGAAAATGAACAGGTAGAAAGGTAATTTTTAGCTTGACTGAAATTTTAAATTTATAATTTCAAAACTCTTTCATACTTACCGTCCGATCAAATCCCACATGATAATTCGTGAGATGGAAATTCCAAAAACTACGTGACAGTTTCGATTTCCACACGAAAATCTCAAAGATAGTGCAGTAGAATGCTATATTTAGTAAAGCAACTATCTGCTTATATATAATTTCTTCGCCACTGACTGGAGTCAATGTGTCGGTCTGGGAGACAGTGAGCCAGTACAGAATCGTCCACAGCCAATGAAAACGATAGTGTTTGATTAACTTTGTGGTAATGCGAAAGATGCACATGCGCAATCGGATCAGTTCTTCGGTAATGCCACGCAACTGTTCCACAAGCACCAGAAGCTGGCCACCCTCTAAGACCTGGGCCTGGCGTAGGGTACGGACATCGTTCGATATGCGACGCGTGCACTGTTGGAGCTCCTCATAGCAGGCGATCAGCACAATGAAGAGGCAAATATTGATACTGACCTGCAGCAGGAAGGCGAACAGTAACGATGTGCTGAAGCAGAAGAAGATAAAGCCAAATCTGGCGTGGGAATATACTAGCATCATCAGAGAGCGAAGCATGCTCTGGAGTGTGAGCAGAAGCAGCAGCAAGTGAGAAACCCGAAATATGTTAGGATGCTTGGCCAGGACGATCAGTTGGTGCACCATCTCCTGCATTTCGTTCAGCAACCGCACACACTGGTCACTATAGCGATGAACGTGGCATCGCACCATTAGCAATACAATGCACTCGCAGATAATCCGAACAATAATTCCTAAATATGCAAATAGGCCTTTCAGGCTTACTACAAATATAACAATGAAGAAGAGGAGGAGCGTGAAAATCATAGCATGGGATTGCAGCCAGACCGATTTTCGAAATTTTCGAATCTTCGTATCGTAGGTAAAAGTTGTTCCGCCCATCAATTGACTGATAAACAAAGTAACACGCAGCGATAAAATTGTGCACCGGTTGAGCAGGTTTAGTGGTTTCATGATGGATAGATGGATTCTGAAAGCTATGCACTTCAAAATTGAACTGACGCCCCCGAAGGGAACACAGGTCGTGGGGCAGATAAATTGAATTATTACCCGCGCTTTTTCAACTGATGGGCGCACATTAATAAGCAGCACAAGTTTTGACAACTTAATCAATATATTTGCTTGTGCGTGTGTATTTATTTGTTTGCGAGAGTGTTTGCCAACAGAGCCGCAGCTCATTTTGCGGTTGAGGCAGCCGTGGCGCCACAAAGTATGCTAAGCATTCCGCTAACCACTAATAGCCAGGCTCTTAGTGCTGCAATTAGCGCATCAACTGTAAAGTGCGTTCAAACGAGAGTCGACTAAGTTCTTCTGCGTGGGTGACCTTTTCAGTATGAGCGCTTGAAATTCAAAACTTTATAATATTTTCGTAATTATAGATACAATTAATTTCTTTGTTTAATTTCAATGCTCATTATACCCCAAACTGTAATTAAAGAGCAAGGGATAATCACTTTTGATTGAAAATTGTTTCAGCATTGAATATATTTCATTGAAATGGAAGATGGCATATTTGGCAAAAGATTCGATATTGCTGGTCCAATTTATGGAATCTAGCTACAAACTTTCGAAATTTATTTTTACAGATTCAATATACTTGTATTAATTGGAAACAAATGATTTCATGCGTTTTATATTGCGATATTGCTGGTCCAATTAATGGATTCTAGCCGGAAACTCCGATAATTATTTTTACAAGAGGTTGCAGATTCAATATATTAATTGGAAGCAAATGATTTCATAAGTTAAGTTTCAACTCTACCAGTTGAACATTCAAGACCATTCTTAGAAACGTACAAAATTTCGTTTACTGCTTTAATTAAATATTTAGTAAAGCAAATGCAATTGTATTATTTGTGAAAGTACAATTAATTCCTTATTCTAAGTATTAACAACACACATAAAATATCCTAAAAAGTTTCCAACAAAGTTTCGTGTTAGGAGTAGAAAAGCAATAACCCTAAATACTGAAACAAATATTTGCATAATTTTTTATTTTTTTTTGAGTCCATCACCCAAATATAACCAGTTTTTTAGTAAATAAGTGTTTCAATGGACAATTCTGTATGATGAAGAGACAGAGAGTTAATTATATAACAATTCTTAGATAAGATCTCATAGTGTCCCCTATTGAATTATTAAAGGAAAATCATTGAGAAGCACACGCTCCATATAGTGCAAAAACAATTCCATCTTATACTATACTATAGTATACTCGTATGTACAAGTACGTATGTATATTGAGCAACGGCCACACCAACACATTTAATTACGCAACATTTACGTTAAAATTTTATTGTCTGCATTATTGAGACGCTGTTGCGCTCAGTGCACTCAGCTGTGGTTTCCGTTACAGATTTTTCGCCATTGTTGCACGAGCACACACACGCATACTGTAACATTTTTCCATCGCCCAGGCATCGACAGATGCCGGCAGAGGCATTTTGTTCATTTTATTGCAAAATGGCGCAACGAAATCGACAACACACGCGCATCATTTGACTTGCCATTCAGTGGCATACTTGTTAGTGATGTGCTAATTGAACTGAAGAAACATCGGTGATTGTCAATATAGATGCTCTGAGCAGAAATAATGGTATTCAGCCGATGGATTGTACTGCAGAGATATGGTTAGCATTCACATCAATCATATTATTGCCAAAACATAAGTTTAGAAAATGACAAAAAAAGTTTACTGTGAGCTGTCGAAGCAGCTTATCTGAGCTTATTATTATTACTCACATTGTGTTGTATTTGATAAATAATTGTTCAACCTGAAATTAAAAAATAATATAAATTTCGTATTGTACTCCTGGTAGAACAATTTTAGGCATTTTTGCAGCGATCGAGCCGTTTTTATTCGTATTTAATGGACAACTACCCTCCTCGCATTCAAGTTAGGTTACAATAGCTGGAGCGATGGTGCGCAGCCACCCACTTGTTGTGATAGCATTGAAGTAATGGAAATATATCTAAGTGTTCTAAGCTGTATCGACAAAACAACCCACTGACTTATAAGTACTTGTACTTACCTCTTCAGTTTTTTTTTTTTTTTTTTTTTTGTTAAAATGCGCTTGGTTTTTCTACTTTGTATGCAGTTTTTGTTTTGGCACCATTTTAATGAAGATATAATAAATAAGAAAACTATACTCTTAATATACTTTTAATACTCTTATTTTTATAACGAACGTTTGTTGTTATGTGAAAGCATTCAATTCAAATTCAAAAATGTCTACTATTTTCTTTGTTGCTTAAAACCTATGTCTATTCGATGTTTGGCTCCTAATTTTAATCAGAACTAAATATTGGGCATAGTGCGATACATACACATGTCTATTCTGTATTTATAGATATGTTGGGAGTCATTCAATAAATCGTCAGTGTCAAAATATTACCCATCGATATTAATTAACATCACTAGCAAGTAAATATGTGTGTGTGTGTGAGTGTAAATATGTATCAGAATGTGCCGTGAAGTTGTTGGTAGTTGCAGAGTGAGCATTGTTTTCACTTGCCAACGGCTGTTTATTGTTACCATTGGCATATTTTTATACTCTGTACATGAAATGTACAAGAGTATATTAGGTTTGCGGGAGCTGAAAAATGTAACAGGCAGAAGGAGGCGTGGCAGACCCCACAAAGTATATATATTCTTGATCAGCATGACGAGACGAGTCGATCTAGCCCTGTCTGTCTGTCTGTCCGTCTGTCCGTCTGTCCGTCTGTCCGTCCGTATGAACACCTGGATCTCAGAGACTATAAGAGATAGAGACACCAAATTTTGCACAAAGATGCGTTATGTGTGTATTCTATACGAGTTTGTTTTATTTTTTTGATTTCCCCCCCCCCCCCACTTCCCCCCTATGGGGGTTTTCCCGATTTTCCATTCGTATAATCGCCTATATCTCGGAGACTATAAGACCTAGGAACACCAAATTTTAGTCCCAGATGCCTTATGTGAATACGCAGAAAATGTATATTTTGGAATTCCCCTCCCTCCCCCCTCTACCCCGCAAATCGTAACTCCCGTAATTCTTGGAATTTCGAACTAAAATTTTGGAAATACCCCCAGTTGGTTATTATGTGTCCGTATGCCAAATTTCATTATGATAGACCGATTTAACAAGAAGTTATAGCCATAAATATATTTGCTGATGCAGCGCTGCTGCAGCGCTGCTCAAGCGCTGCCCGCGGCTGTTGTTGATGTTGCTGTTTGGTTGACTGCGAAAATGCTTACACAGACACGAATTGATGCGCATAGGCATACATACACTCACACAGACGCAATTGCTATGTAAATGTGCAATTATACACCCTTTACGTGAGTTCGAATACCGAGAGAGGTAAAATCGATCAAATTTTTTTTTTTATTTTCTTAATTTTTTTATTTTCTATAATTATTGTAAACATATGTACAGAGTATTTCAAAGTCGGGACACCCGACATTAGCTTTTTTACTTGTTTAATGTTGCCGAGTAACACAATTCCAAGCAGGCAGACGGACAAACCAACGGACACACAGAGCCGACTGGCGAAGACTCAAAGTGAAATGACTCTATCGGTAACGTGGTGGCATAATATGAAAAACAGAGTTGTGGCTTTTCGACCAGGAAGGAGTGTGCATTGAAATGTGCAACAAAGGCGGACAGTGCTCCAAACAGAAGCACAGATCCTTCATGCATGACAAGATGTCGAAACAATATACGTACAATTGATTGGACACTGTGGTACTAGGCTATGATAGGCTCTATTGTGTGTGTGTGTTTTGAAGAAAATTTAATTAAAAACCTACTTAACTTTAATTACCTTATGAAAGACTACTATAGATTCCTTTAATTACATTTTGTTCCTATACTATAGACAGACATTAATTTCACACAAATTAAAATATGTATAATATTTTACAATATTTCATTCAATTTGTGCACATGACACATTTAAGGGATTATAATTCTTATGCTTAGGTCCTTTTGATAAAGTCATCAGACTTTGGATGTTTCAGTTGCTTAGAAATATACTTGCAGCTCCTAATTCAGCCTTATAGGGAAATCAGTGCCAATGCAAAACTTGTCATCTTTAGTTTGCATAGTCCAATCAGAGTTCATTCTGACGTACACTGCTAGAAAGGCCTCCATTTCTGTATTACACTTTCTATGTATGTGTACTTGTATATATAAGACAGTTTTGTTTCTTTTCCCACGTTACATTAATTGACTCAATAATAATAACAATGAAGAATATATGTTGTAGTGCAGACAGTATATTAAGCTGAAAACATAATTTATGTGCATTTTAAGGGATCATGTTAGGGATATGCGGGTGCGTGGAGGGCGGAGCGGGTTGCTTTTTGACACACGTGTTGAAACGTCAATTGTCAGTTTGTTGCATTATCAGCGTTTTACGGCTCATTTGCTTTTTGAACATGTGTAAACAAGACAAGCCACCCAGTGGACTAATGTATACACATGTATACACCTATACATATGTACACATATAAACGAAACTCTGCCACACACAATCCGGAGATCCTGAGCCTGAGTTGAGTGGCAGCTGCGGCGACCAACTGCCAGGCGATGGCAGCTCATTTTTAACGCCGCCAGTGATTTATTAAATTTCCAAAATGCACACACATACGCAATACACATACGCATATATAGGACAGTAACAGCTACACACACACACACACACAAATAGTTGCACTTATTTGCGCATATTTAATGAGCATAAATATGTTCACATATGTAAATTATGAAACATACACTCAGGCGTTATTCCGTTGTGTGCTCAGCTATTTAAAATATGCGACTGACGCCTTATTAAGCGCTCATTACTCACGCTTTGGTAGCCAAACTACATGCGTACATTTATTATTATTTATGGACATATGCACACCGGAAGGTGCATGTGTGTGTGGGCGTGTGTGGGTGTGTGTGTGTGCTTGTAATATGATTCTT